CTGACGGGATACTTCCGGAAGTTCATACCTCAATATGCACTGGTGGCACGTCCTTTATCACAGCTGTTGAAGAAGGAAGCGAGATTCAGGTTTGGAATCGAGCAGGAGCAGGCGTTCGAGCAGCTGAAGGCAGCGCTGACGGGCGATCCGGTATTGAAGTTGTATCGGGCGGGTGCTGAGTTAGAGCTACATACGGATGCGTCAAAGCACGGTCTCGGAGCTATTCTAATGCAGAGAGACAGCGAGGACAGCGAATTGCATCCAATCTACTTCGCCAGTTGGAAGACCAGCGGAGCTGAGGAGAAGTACAGCAGCTATGAACTGGAGGTTCTAGCGGTGGTCAAAGCTATACGCAAGTTCCGCGTATACTTAATAGGAATTCCTTTCCGGATCATAACTGATTGCCGAGCATTCATGCAAACCATGTCGAAGAAGGATGTCTGCATAAAGGTGGCTCACTGGGCGCTGGAACTCGAGGAGTTTGATTACAAGGTGGAGCATCGGCCAGGCACAGCCATGCGTCACGTAGATGCCCTGAGCCGGAACCCCGTAGAATGTCTGGCAGTACGCGAAGTCCAGAGCGCGGTAGTAGCGCAGGTGAGACGGGAGCAAGCAGGCGACCCAGAGTTGCAGAAGATAATCAAGTCGACGGAAGCGACCGGCGACGGAGATTTCGAAATGGCCAACGGAGTATTATATAGACGAGAGCATGGAACGCTGTTACTCGTCGTACCTAAGACGATGCAGAGGGAAATTATCCTCCAAGTGCACGGGCAGGGTCACTTCGGGTGGAGAAACACGGAGCATCTAATTCGACGCGAATATTGGTTCCCTTCGATGCGTTCGAAAGTGCAGCGAGTCATCGACAGTTGCATACGTTGTCTGTTGGCGGAGAAGAAGCGAGGTACGGCTGAGGGGTTACTGCAGCCTTTACCAAAGGGGGAGCGGCCACTAGATACTTACCATGCCGATCATCTGGGCCCCATCCCTTCAACGAGGAAGAGCTACGCGCATATATTCGTGGTGGTTGATGCCTTCACGAAATTCATCTGGTTATACCCCACTAGATCAACGACAGCGGACGAGGTAATTGCGCGGTTGCGTAAGCAGGCGATAACCTTTGGAAATCCGAGGAGGATAGTGACGGACCGTGGATCAGCATTCACGTCCAAGGCTTACAAAGAATACTGCGAAGAAGAAAACATAGAGCGGGTTCTGATCACGACTGGAGTGCCTCGCGCGAATGGGCAAGCGGAGCGCATGAATCAGTCCATCATAGCGATACTTACCAAACTGTCACTAGCAAGACCGGGCGAATGGCATAGGTACGTAGACAGAGTACAGCAATTTATTAACTCATCGTTCCATAGAGGGATAGGTACGACGCCTTTCAAGTTACTGATTGGGAGCGACATGCGACTGAAGGACGACCCACAATTGCATCAGGCGTTGCGAGAAGCAATTGTCGAAACGTTCCAACAAGAGAGATCGGAGCTACGAGACGAGGCAACGAAGAACATCCAGGCGATCCAGACGGAGAATCGGAGGAGCTACGATCGCAAGCGGAAAGCGGCCAATAAATACAGAGTTGGAGATGTCGTGGCGATTCAGCGTACGCAACTCGGACCAGGCCTGAAAGTACGTCCCAAGTTTTTAGGTCCGTACAAAATAACCATGGAGTTGCGGAACGACCGATACCTAGTCGAGAAGCTGGGAGAGTACGAGGGGCCAGCACGCACGAGCACGGCAGACGATCACATCAAGCCTTGGCCGAGGCAAGGCTGGGATCCGGATATCGACGTACTAGGAGGAGATGACGACGATCCAGACACTCCGAGCATCGAGGGCGATGCTGAATGCAGGATGACCGAGTGTGGGATCGGTGGTGAGAGCGCCACCTCGGGTCCCTGTGAAGGGGAAGGAACTACGGCGGGGAAGAAGGAAGGAGGACGACAGTAGTCGCCATACTAACATACGCGAAGGACGACGTGTACCGAATAGCAATAAAAGTCCTCGTGATTTACCAAGATATCCACCGTTCGTTCGACGACCCCTCCCTAGCCAGATCCTACACAATTGCCATAGCCTCTTTATCTATTATTGCTCTTTTTAATTCATTTTTAGGAATTTTTTTCGATGCGTATGCTATTGGTCTCTTCGACCCGTCTTTATATCTGTGTGACAAAATCGCAGATATCCCGTGATCCGACGCGTCGCACGCCAATACAACTTCTTCTTTCGGGTCAAAATTCGCTAATATTCGAGGTGAAATTAATTCATTTTTCACCCATTCGAACACTCTTTCGTGTGCCTTGTTCCATTTGAACTCTTGTACCTCTAACAAGTCGTACAGTGGTTTCATATTGGCCGATCGATTTTGCAAGAATCTTGCGTAAAAATTTACTAGCCCTAAGAATGAAGCTAATTCTCTCGCGTTTGTTGGTCGTGGTGCGTTCACCATTGCATTTACTTTAGATAGCGCTTTATGGAGTCCATTTTTGTTCATTACAAATCCGAGTACTTCTATTTTCTCTTCCATAAATTTACATTTACTTAGGTTTAACCGCAAATTGCACTCTTGCAGTCTACTGCATACCTTTTCTAAATTTGCCCTATGTTCGCTTTCCGTTTTCCCTGTTACATAAATGTTATCTAGATACGCGATGGTACCGTCTATGCCTTGTAAGCATTCGTCCATTTTCCTTTGTACGTCTGCAGGTGCAGGAGAAATACCTTCCGGAATTTTTGTATATTGAAAAAGACCCTTGTGTGTCACAATCGTTAGTAGCTTCCTGCATTCTTCCGCGACTGGGAATTGCATGTAAGCGTGCTTCAAATCGAGTTCCGAAAAGTATTTTCCCCCCTGCAGTTTCGCAAAAATGTCGTCTATTGTCGTCTATCCGGGTTCGCTATCCCCCGATCCATGCGAGAGTCACTCACTCGTCGCGTGGTCCTAACGTATTCGCATGCTCCCCCCGTTCGCACATACGATTCGCTTGTATATCACAAAAATGATTTATTATTGTTAATCAATTTTTTTCTATAAAAAAAATGATTTATTATTATTTAAACAATTTTTCCACAATAGAAAAAATGATTTATGATTATTTAAACAAGTTTTTACATAAAAAAATGATTTATGATTATTTAAACAATTTTTTGACATAAAAATGATTTATTATTGTTTAAACAATTTTTTTTAACATAAAAAAATTTGTTTAAACAAATGGTCCAGAACCGGCCCTGTATCACTACTTATACATATGTATACAGGGTGTTATGTAATACACGTCTCCTCTCTTATTTACGGATAGAATGCACTAGAGTGAATTTAAGAGTCCTCTATCCTTTTGCAATTTTCCCAGTAGTTAACGAGTTATTAATTATTAAAAATCGCTATCTTAGCCCTACTGCCCAATTCAAACGCACGGCGAGATGCGGCCGTCCCACGATTGGCGTTGCTAGGCGCGTGGAGAATTGTTTATGGTACGTAGCCGTTGCCGTGTGTCATAAACAACTCCCCGCGAGCCTAGGAACGCCAATTGTGGGATGGCCGCATCTTGCCGTGCGTTTGAATTGGGCGTTATGCTGGGCTAAGACAGCGATTTTTAATAATTAATAACTCGTTAACTATTGCAAAAATTGCAAAATGGTGGAGAATTTTTGGACTCAGTTTAGTTTACTCTATACAAAATTAAGAGGTGAGATGGATATTACATAACACCCTGTATATTACTATAATTGCCATACTAATTATTATACTAATTATTTATTATATTTTAATACTTAAATTAAAAAAATTGTAATATGTTTTGTTAATAAATATTTCATGTTTACATTGTAGGCTGTTCTGAAAAAATGGAAACGATTAGGGCTTTTAAAAGCTCCACATAAAATAGTATCAATGGCAATGACATTAGCATTGGCACCACCAGAAATGTTTTCCGAAGGTTTAAATCTCATGCAAATAATTGCTGATGAAGAATATTGTTGCGAATGTACCCTATTGGCTAACGCGATCGTTCAAGGATAGGTAGGTAGAGGCGCTATGCGAATTTTAGTTATGAAGGGAAGATAGATGGCGCGTCGTAAAGAAATCATGGTACAAGATCCGAGCCGAACTAGAGAGTCCACTTTCACGTCGTGTGTGTATGTGCAACGTTCGTACAGAGACAAAGAAATGTAAAGTAAACCAATAAAACGTGAAGAGAAAATAAGTGATCTCAGGCATATCCAGACCACAAAACGTACATGGTCCTTCGAGCCGGATTCGGCCGGATTCAGCTGGATATTCTACGTCTCGACGAGGAACAAACAGCACAGGCCACGATTGCATATGGCGTCGCACGAATGTGCGTGGGCTAAGTCATAATTCAAGCGGTCGTACGAACGGACATGTGAATTCACATAAACGGATCGCAGTCTACGCAGCGTCAACGACATTGAAAATTCGCCCGACGAGGAGGATTCGGCACTGCAACACGCTAAGGCAACACGCCACAGCGGCTAGGACGATCAGACGAGACGAAAGCATTTTGGCGCGAGGAAACGGCAGCCACATTGGTATCAAGAAACAAGAGACCGGCCATCGACGAGACGACGATCAAACGGCTCGAGAAGCTGGCATCCGTCGGCTTTGTGGATAGGCAGAGCAAGCGGGGACGGAAGGAGGCGGTGACGTTGCCGAACGACTACGGGCGGTTCGCAGCGAAGAGACGGTGCGTCCGAGGTGCAGTACCCTGGAGAACAATTGCATCCGCTTGCGGGACGACGGGGCGCGGCACGACGTCGATCGGCGCGAGATACTGAGGAACGCAGCGGTACTGAAGGAAGAATACTTCGTCGCGCGACTAACGGCAGGCAGGCAATAAGGCAAGGTACTCGAGACGGTGGTACGTAAGCAAACTAAGTGGCTCATTATCGGTATATTTGACGTAGATTTGAGTGATCACTGGTAAGGCGTGAAACTATTGTACTCACACTTTGTAAAGTAAGTCGACATGGCGGACGAACAAGCTATCGCGGTGTTAAAAAAGAAACGCGGTATTGTTAAGGGTCAATTGTCGAAGTTCGTAACATTTATCGATAGATATAGCGAGGCGGGACACACCCCGGAATTAGAGGCTAGGTTAGAAAAGGCCGAGCAATTGTGGGCGAACTTTGACCGAGTGCAGACAGAGCTCGAGATAGCGGATGAAGCGCAATCATCACATCGCGACGCGTTTGAAGAATCGTATTTCGCAGTAATAGGAAAGGCTAAAGGGTTGAGACAGACACCTACAGTTGCGCAGCCGCAAACGGGTTACACGTGTAACAATCAAAACGTAAAGTTACCTGCATTGAAATTACCGGATTTCAATGGTGAGTATAGTAAATGGATACAATTTAGCGATACATTTAAGGCGATTATTCACAATAATACAGCATTGACCACCACCCAAAAATTCTACTACTTGAAATCGTGCTTGAGCGGAGACGCCGCACGAACATTAGATACGTTAGAAACGTCGGACGCAAATTACGATGTCGCGTGGGATATTTTAACAGAACGATTTGAGAACAAAAACATTATAGTTCACAATCATGTGAAGGCATTATTCGAGTTGCCGCCGGTTACTAAAGACTCATACAATTCTCTTAGGGATTTGTCCGACAGCATATCGCAACACTTACGAGCATTAAAGTCATTAGACCAGCCAGTCGATAGCTGGGATTCAATCATTATCTATCTTTGCGCGTCTAAATTGGACATTGCATCACGTAACGAGTGGGAGAAGCTATCGGTTAAGAGTAGCGAACTGCCAGATATCGATGAATTTAAAACATTCTTAAATGAACGCTGTCAAATCCTGGAAAGATTGTCCAAAGACAGTAAGCAATTGGATAAACGAAACGTAATTAAGGATTCAAGGGACAAGTCGAAAGCAAATTCATTATCACATTTAGCATCAAACGTAGTAAAATGCATGTTTTGCAAAGGGTCACATAATACATATTCGTGTAAGGATTTGTTGTCTTTGTCGGTTGATGAGCGATTGGCACAGATCAGAAAACTAAAACTATGCACCAACTGTTTAAGAAATAATCATTTCAGTAAAAATTGCAAGGCGGGAGGCTGTAAAAAATGCAATGGTCGACACAATACGTTGTTGCATCTTGGAGAATCTAAAATTGAAGGCAAGGCAGAGAATCAACCATCCTCAAAGGCAACTAAGACAGAGACCAAGGATGAACTTAACACGACGCATGAATCCACGGTAACCACGCACTCAGCTCAGATAACGCGAGATTCGTACATATTGTTAGCAACAGCAAGGGTGCTGATATTCGATGATAACGGAAAGTCATACCAATGTAGAGCGTTATTAGACAACGGGTCTCAATCCAATTTTATTACAATGCAATTAGCGCTGAAGTTAGGTCTTGCAAAAACGCCTATAAAACTTCCGGTGTGCGGAGTTAATCAGAGCATTACGAATATTTCGCACAAAACCAAATCATCTATTAAATCGCTGCATAACAATTATAGGGCCGAACTGTCTTTCATGGTAGTCGATAATATTACGCAGGAGTTGCCAAATAAGTTTTACAATATTTCGGCGTTAAATATACCCGAAGGATTGTCTCTAGCAGATCCACGTTTTAATTGTCCTGAAACGGTAGACTTACTATTAGGCGCGGGTATATTTTGGGAGTTGCTTTGCGCAGGTCAAATTCAATTAGGGGCAGGGAGGCCATTCCTTCAAAAAACTAAACTAGGCTGGATCATATCAGGGCCCCTGATGAGCGAATGCAAGACATCAAAAAATTTATGTCAC